GAACTACTAAGGGGCCTATGGGTAAGTCTAAGACTCAAACAGTTCCAGACCTTGTCTTCATGCAGGGTGAAGGCTAGAACAATTCCCACGCTGTCGGAACGGTGTCAGACCCTCTGGACTGTTGCAGCTGAGTGGGCAAGCTTTGGACTTTAAAACAGAACTCTGTTTTTTAAATTCTCGGGCATGGCGCCAAATCAAACCCCGAGGCGTTGAGCATGGTTGCAAGTCAGCCGCGAAGACTTTTCGAACCCTAACCTCGGCACACGGAGGAATCTGCACTCACCTCAAATACAGCTGCTTCCTCAGTAAATTACCCGAAACTAATCCCCCAAACAGCAGCTTTCAGACCACCCAGACGCACTTCAGGGTGTAGTCAGCGTAGTGCCTTGTATGTCGCGTCATCCATCTCCACAGGGAACACCCGTGTGGAGTCCATGCCTGACACCTGCCAGCTTGGCACGAACTGTTGGGCTGGGTCATCGTATTTATGTTTCGGGTGTCTGCACTCACGATGAGGCTTTCTGGTTTTGGTAGGTCTTAGATTGGGGCGCAGCTTATTGTGGGGGGCGGGGGGGGGGGGGGGCAGTGGCTTCTACTTACAGAAACTGATGTGCTCTGGTGTCAGGGTGTACGGAGTTGCAAAGCGGGCACTTAACTCTACTGGTTTGCAGGGGAAATTTCTCGGATGAACGGCCTTGAACGGAAGCAGACAGCCAAAGACCAGTCTTAGGGATGGCTCAGAAACAACGGCATGCTGGCATCCGCAGTCCTTTCTCAGGTCCATGTGGTGTACATCGGTTGCCAGGAGTTCCGAAACGCTTCGGGTGCGATCCATGTGTGTTCCCTCGGAGCGCGGCTTAAAGCCTCCCTCGCAGCATGGACCCTTCATCCCATCGAATGCCATACCAGACACCTCTAGCCCCTGTCTCACCCTCACCTAGAAAACACGAGGCTCTAAGCTCTTACAGACCTCGATTTAAGCATTATGAAGCCAGAACTTGGGTCTTCCAGAAATGCCCGGTAACAAAATCGAAAAACCCCTTGAGCTTCTCTACTGCGACACTGAGCTGCCTTCATGTCCAAGAAGTTCAGCTGCAGAAAGCTTGCTTGCAGAGGGGTCCTGAGGATGCAGGGCTCGTCTGGACTCCGACCACTCTAACGCCTAAACCCAGGTCGTTGGAACAACCCCATGCGGTTCGGGCAGGGAGAAACAGCAGGGAAGAGGGAAAGCAGCCCCTCTTGAGCCCATAGTGCCCCAGTAGGTTCCAAGCCACCTCGAAGGCTAGCCTGAATAGTGCTGATGCTTGCTAAATTCTGGTATACGGCGCCCCCCTCCAAACCGGCCCGGACCCTGTCATAATTTAAAAAGGGTCCTAGGTCCTAGGGTGACGTTTATGGTTTGGGTAACCCTAAACCCTAAACCCCAAACCCTAAACCCTAAACCCCAAACCCTTTTGCAACAGGCTTTCCACTTAACCCTCAACCCCAAACCCTCAACCCCAAACCCTAAACCCTAAACCCCAAACCCTCAACCCCAAACCCTCAACCCCAAACCCTAAACCCTAAACCCGGTTATGGCATCCATCTGCCAAGCTTTGGCCAAAGGCACATCAGCATCAGCCATCGGACGCCCCAGTCGGGACATCCTGGGGTCACCATCCCGCCTGGAAGCTCGATTGTTGGGTGTTTTCTTTGTGGGATTTAAGGTTTAGGGCTCGATTTTTTTGGTGTTTTCTTTGTGATTTAAGGTTTAGGGTTTGAGGGTTTTAGGGTATAGGGTTTGGGGTTTTAGGGTTTTAGGGTATAGGGTTTAGGGCTTTAGGGTTTTAGGATATAGGGTTTAGGGCTTTAGGGTTTTAGGGTATAGGGTTTAGGGCTTTAGGGTTTTAGGGTATAGGGTTTGGGGTTTTAGGGTTGTTGAGTGACCCCCTCCGCCAGGCGCCCAGCAGTTCGTTGGCCCTCCCCGTTTGCGGCCGGGCCGAGGCGGACGACGCGAAGCGTTTAAAATAAACTCTCTTTTGAAAGTATGCAAGCTGTTCCTCCGAGGGTGTGTGTTTCGTGTTTAGGGCCGGGGCCTTCTGATCCCTTGGGGCTTTAGGGTTCAGGGGTTTCCGACCCGATACGGCAGGTTCCCTAAACCCTACACCCTGACCCCAGAACTCGATGATGAACTCGATGAAGCCCCAAATGCCCGGTGCGCTACAGGGTTGAACGCCTGAGCGTTTTGGCTTCGACATCTACTGGCCTCTGTACCACATCCAGGGCCCGTCCAATGCCTCAGGGGATGTCAGAGTCAAGCTGAGACTGCTCGCGAGTTTAGGGTCTGCGGGGGTTTCAGGGGTTAGGGGTTCAGGGCTTTTTCGGGTTTTTGGGGGGTTCAAGCTAAAATGTTTGGGGTATGAAGGGCTCTGGGCTGGAGGGTTTGCGACTCTGAGGATGTGAGGGAGGGGCGGTGCTGGGCCGCATGCAATCAGGACACGTCTGCGTCTGAATGGCAAGCAAGACTCCCAAGGCTAGATAACTGTGCAAATCCCAACCCTAAACCCTAACAAAACTCAAAAACCCTAAGTCTAAACCCTTCTGCAACTTCCCCCCTAAACCCTAAGCCCTAAATCCTAACAAAACTCGAAAACCCGAAGCCTAAACCGAAGCCTCAAAGCCCCGAACCGTGGTTCGGGACTCCCCGAGCCCTGCCTTCGAGAGAGCGCTTTTAAGGTTCACCGTGTTCTCGATTTGGTATGGGTGCATGGCACTGATCGAATCCTTGTACCTGAGCACATGAACCATATACCCCAAACCCTAAACCCTAAACCCTAAACCCTAAACCCTAAAAATAAGCAATACAAGAAGGGTTTGGGGCCTTCTGGCCAGAAAATAAAAGGGGGGGTCGGCTGCACCCAAAAGCCGCAGCAAACCCGGGCCCGAGCCCGATGCACCCCGGAACCTGATGACCCCTTTTGTCTAAGGTAGAACGGGACCCTAATATACCTACTATATACCCTACATATACCCATAAGGGACCCTGGAATCCCCTTAGGGCCCATGTTAGGGGCCCATGGGTTCAACCTTAGATTTTGCAACCAAGCCTGCTCAGCCGTCGGGGAACCTGAAAACTACCAGAGAAACTCCCCGAAGTTATAAGAGTTGAGGGTGTCGCCTTAAGGGTTTAGGGGCTAAAAGAAACTTGTTAGGGCCCCTCGTCGAACAAAAAGCCTCCGGCCCTCCCTATCGTTTCCTATTTCTCCGGGAGCCAAAATAGCCTAAACCCTAAACCCTAGAACCTAACCCTAAATCCTGGACCCTTTGCAGCGGGCTTCTGGAAACGCCTCGAAGCACCGGTGTCGTTAAGTGAATTTCAACCATGCCAGCCCCCGAAAAACCTCTATAGAAACTCCTGCTTAGAAAACAGCGCTCTAAAACCCAAAAACATCGCGAAAGCCCAGCCATGCGTCAACAGCCCCACGCAGGCACCAGTACATGAGACCCAGGTCAGGAGGTCTGGGGGCTTCTTGCGAGCATCCGGGGTTCCACATTTAGGGTCCGTAGATATCTATATATATATATACACACACATATATATATATATATATATATACATACATATATATATATATATACATATGTAGAGAGAGAGAGAGGGTCTAGGATGTATCGGGGTACTGCATTTGTTGATTGCATGGGGCTTAAGGGTTAGGGTTTGGGGTTTCGGGGCGTCTTAAATTGTATCGGGGTGCCATATTCCTAGTTCAGGATCTATGACCGTAAGGGCAACTCTGTCACAGGGCATATCCGATGCTGAAGAGTTATTCTTCCTGTTCAGTGTTGAGGATTTTGTCTGGCATTTAGGGCTGGATGAGGGATCGGTTGGTGACCGTGCTGAACCCAAGTCACGCATCGAAAGGCAGACCCAATTCACGTAGGAGCGAGTTTTCCTGAGCATGCGGTATCGGACATTTCGGGCTATCCCTGCCAGTAGAAACTGCATGCAAAGGTGAACACTGAAACACCAGCTTATCCAGTGGTCAACCTATTTGTCGGGCAATTGTGCTGTTTTGATGCTGTTTTCCGTGTCAAGCAGAAGTGTTGTCTTGGAACATCTGGTGTGCGTACCACCGTGATTTGCGGAGTTTCTTTGCCGATCTCGATAGGAACGCTCAAGATGACGCGGTGGAAGACCTGGCAAGCGACTTCCTTTTTCCCCACATGGCTTGCTGAACTGAGGCTCGTTGGGGATTCGATCAGATGTAGCATAGAACTTAAGGTAACATATGCCAATCTGGTGTCGGGGTTCTCTCGGGCCCTGACCGGTACGGAGATCCTGTCTCCTCAGTGTGTGTTGCACTTCCCTTGCCGGTTCTGTCCCTGTCCTCTCGCCCTCCCCCTCATCACTTCACAGCTCATTAGCCAGCTGCTGGTACCCCGGGAAAAACAAAACTCTGCACGGATGGTTTCCTTGGGCGTGTCTCCATTGCTGTGTTTACAAGTTCACAACCTGGCAGTCCAAACATAGTCAGGTACTAGTCGGGCACACAACTAACCTCGTCAATGGCAACGGCCGTCGTGAGACCTGTACGAAGAATCCTACCTCCGCTTTCCACCCGTCCATGCCCATCGGCCCTGTCGTCTAGTTCCACATGTTCCTGGAAGTACCGCGGCAACAAACAAGCAGGTAGATGCTGTTGCTACTCACGGCTGCACCGATGTGGTCGTCATCCATATGATGCTCATCCCCATCATCCCCGTGGTCATCATGAGGACTGGTGTCAGGCCTTGTCTTTCAGAGGCAAACCACTGCGTCAGTTCTCGACTCGCGCCTCTAAGCCTTGAGCTGTAAACCCGAAACCCACAGACCTCGGCCCCTAAACCCGAACCCCAGCGCGCCCTAAGTCTTTCAATCCTAGACCCCCTTTCCCAACTCTGTGAATCTCCATGGCCTACCCTAAACCCTAAACCCTGAACCCTACACCCTTAGCCCTACAAGCCATTTAATTGTCGGTCGTGCCTCCACGGCGGCCTGCAGGCGCCGATGCCCCTGAGTGCTGCTTGGTGCAAAAATCTGATATAGGGGCTCAATAATTAGAGTAGGGTTTGGGGTAAATTATAGGGGCCTAATATTTTAGAATAGGGTTTTGGGGTAAATTATAGGGGCTCAATGATTAGAAGGTATGTTATACTATAATTATAATAAGGAGCCCCCAAAATAGCATTGCAATGGGGACGGGGGCGGGTTGGTCTTCGGGGTTCGAGGGGTTCTTGTGGCTTGGACTTTTCCTGGGGTTTAGGATTTAGGGTTTAGGGTTTAGGGTTTAGGGTTTAGGGTTTAGGGTTTAGGGTTTCGGCGCGTTTTTCCCACCGGCCCAGCTGACCGAGTCGCACCGCAGGGAGTTTGTTGGAAACTGCAGGTTTGGCGAGGTGAGGATTGAAGGAAGACACATGCCCCTGTAAAAGAAGCACGCCAACAATAACCCACAACCCTAAACCCTAAACCCTAAACCAGTAAAGGAAAGGAGCATGCAAGAACGTCCAATCCTTGGGTCCCTAGCGGGAGAACAAGAAGACGGCCTTTCGGCGGTTTTGTGTTTCGGGGCCCGTCTGCGAATCCTACCTGTGGTCGTCGTTTTTGGTGAAACTTCCAAGTGCACCTGTCAGGAGGGAATATGTAAGCTTTGGGCTCAGGGCTGAAGGTGACAGAGCAGAAAAACAAAGAAAACCGACTACAACGCTCAGCATGGAGAAGTTGCTGATACCATCCCAAAATCACGATCAATCTCGGGCACTCCGTTCTCTACGTCTTATGCAGGTCTGTCGCGAGAGTCAGTACTACTGAGACGAGCCGCCCCACCGTGACCTCCGTGATCTCCAGCATTGTGGTCATCGTGCCCACCGTGATCTCCAGCATCGTGGTCATCGTGGTGGTCGACGGTGCCGTGCCCGATATCTGTGCTGAAACTACCATCGGTACCATGGCCGTCGGAGTGGCCATCGGCGTGGCCGCCGGAGCTGCCAGAGTCGTGGCTGTCGCCGCCGGCACTGTGGCCAGCATCGCCTGAGCCATGGCTTTCACCTCCATGGCCTCCATGATCCCCGGAGCTGTGTCCAGCATCTCCTCCAGCGTGCACCTCGGTGCGGAAGGCTTTTAAGCATAGTGCTCGGCACCTCATGTAAAACCATTAATCATTCTGCACAGACGATCCATACGGCTCGAAACCAAGAAACAGCTCGCACATCCAACCCTCCGAACATCGCAGCACGGTGCTATTCGACCTCTAGACGGCACTCCGACTAGCAGAATTAACGTGATTTCTGCAGTTACGACTTTGTTGAAGCCGGATGTTAAGCAAAGAGGCCCCGGAAAGCTCGGCAAGCTTGTTGAAGCCATCACCGTCCATAATGCCTTCCACCTCACAAGCGGCCCCAGATGTTGCTTGAAAGATTCGGGCGAGGGAGGGTGCTTACAAAGCCTCGAAAAAAGCGAGGGACGGGGCAGTCTGCGTAAATTCTGAGCGTGTGGGGTCTGATTTTGCTACCTTTATGAATAAGGAACCCTCAGGAATGGCGTTACCGATCTTCGAATCAGCTTACATGGTCGTCCTGCCGTATCAGACCTGGTCTAAGAGCTTCAAGCAACCTGAACAAAAGAGCTAGCTCTAAATTCTAAACCTCACATGGGAAGGCCCAGGCTGTGACGTACCCCACCTGAAGCTCCGCAGCGTAATGCTTGCCGTTGTACTTGTGTGAGGAGATCGGCTTCACCTGGGATCCGGGCCCCTCACACACACGGGGCCACGATCCAAAGTCGAAACAAGCCTGGTCGCCGTGCTCTGCCTACCGAACAGTGCATACACACCTTGACAGATAAACCCTAACAGACGATGCAAGGACCTTCACAGCTTACGAGGAACACATGCAAAGGTATACTATACAATATGTCGTGTGCACGCACGGACTAATTGGACACGAGATGACCGCTATGATGACAGAACCACAGCAGTCGCCTTTGTATCACCTGTATGTACCACTATGCCTCGCTTTGGCAACAGCAGCCATTTTGTTCCAAACGGCTCAGCTTCCGATTCCAAAATACCCCACAGATCGGGGGAGGATCACAGCAGTCCCAGCTAGACATCTTTAATGTAGGAGCCGTAACAAGTTGAACAGGCTTTGGGGTTTTTGACACGATAATTCTGTAGGAACTATACGTATTTGGATACGACAATAAGTGGGTCGAGGTCCATCCGACTCTCAACTTAAAAGCAAGCTTCATGGTGTGCCTGCAAAGCTTGGGGTCCCGGCACAACAATTAGCCCCTGACACAGCGGTCCTGATTCTTAGTCGGAACCCAACTAAAAGTGCTGCTCTGGATTTCCAACAGTTTATCGCACCTTCCACAACTTTGGCAATCCAGCTATTAGGAGTTAAAGGTTTGCAGTTCGACGACCCGAGATTAATGTTCAGGTCTGTGCTTCTGCTTGCATTTACGTGCCTATGTAGTTGAACGGTAAATGCACAGGCTCAAGACTCAAGCAGGCATTTGTGTTCCCAAACAAGTCATAAAGATGTAGAACCATTGCAGTGCTTGTAGCGGTGCCTGGTAAGCTCCTGTATGGAACAGGGGAGGCAGCAGCAGCAGCAACAAAAGTCGTGTCAACAGTCGGAGTTCTAGGAATCGTGCTGAAGAGTCTGCAAAATGCACGGTCGCATGATCAAGCAGTTGCCCCACAATCCACACATGGAACCAAGTTGCGGAGATCTTGTGCATGAGGAAGCCTCAGCTTTGAAACATCACAAAACCCTAGACCCTTACCGGATGTGTGAGGCAACCTGACTTGAACTCAAGGGCTAGTAGGCTCGGCATCGGTCAAAAAACTTTCCTCCAGCCAATGTACCAACTCCCTGCTCGACCTGAGGAAATGCCCAGCATGCCCAGATATACATCTACATATATATATATATACACATGCATACGTACATGCGTACATGCGCATCTACATATAATGTATATATATATATATGTATGTATGTATGTATGTATGTATGTATGTATGTATGTACGTACGTATGTATGTATGTATGTATGTATGTATGTATGTAGTTTCCAATACGTATATGTATATGTACAGACAGAACGAAAGAAAAAAAGATGATAACGATGCAGAGTGGCATAAACATATAGATATGTAGACTAGGTTTGTCGGTATATAGATACTCAGAGATGTAGGCATATGCACATATAGGCATATCTATATATATATATATGTATATATGGACATATAGACATCTAGCTAGATAGATATAAAGATAGATACGGATACAGTTATATGAAAAATACAAATATGGATATGTGAATATTTGTATATATATATATATATATATTTATTTATTAATTTATTTGTTTATATGTATATATAGATGTTGTACATACACATATATACAGATATATAAAACAAATAGAAAAATACAGGTATACAAATGCAGAATAATGAGTACATATGGATACATAGATAGAGAAAAAGACATACAAAAAATAACATAATATACATATATATATATATATATGTACATACCAGATTTAGGTATGTATATATATATATATATATCTATAGGTAGAAATACAAACGCATGAACATATAAACATATAGCTATATGTAGGTACGTATACATATATATATATATGTGTGTGTATGTATGTATGTGTGTATATGCATGGAGAGATATATAGATGGATAGATAGATATATAGATAAGTAGATAGATCGATCGACAGATCGATAGATCGATAGATCGGTAGATCGGTAGATCGGTAGATCGATAGATAGACAGACAGACAGACAGACAGACAGAGAGAGAGAGAGAGAGAGAGATTGGTAGATAGGTAGCTAGGTAGGTCGGTAGGTAGGTAGGTAGGTAGGTAGGTAGGTAGGTAGGTAGGTAGGTAGGTAGGTAGGTAGGTAGGTAAATGGATAGATAGATAGATAGATAGATAGGTAAATAGATGGATAGATCGGTTGGTGGATAAATAAATTAATTAAACTGCTGACTGGGTGGTTCACAAAGCATGGCATATACGTATGCCCTACACGATGGTATGTTATGCTATTATTAAGTTGTTATTGTTCCTCAACCGCGAGATCGCCGCCAAGAAGCTTCGGCCGTTCACCTTAGCTGCACTTCAAATTGAAGTTGATGCCTCCCACCTAGCTAGGACGAGCCCGCATTGCAGAGTTGAGTCAGGGAGAACAACAAGTTGAAGTTCGGCGTTTAGGTTTTAGGGTTCAGGGCATAGTTGGGGTTTAAGGTTTTTCAGGCGGCTCTTCGGAGCTTGGGAGAGCAACCCGAGACTCGCAGCAAGCCGTGTTCCGACCTCTTTTGGTGGCTTTCTGCTTAAGGCTTCGGGTTTAGGGCCTAATTTTGGGCTCCGGGTTTAGAGGGTGCCCCCCTAAACCCTAAACCCTAACCCATAAAACCCTAAATTTAAGGGGCTTCTGAGATTCCTGGAAAAACTGTGCAGCGCTGTGCATCTTGCCGTTCAGTGGCCACCATGCTCCCAAAGTTCGTGATGGCTCCGGGCACTGCAAACCTTGGTGCGGCTATGATAGGGTTTAGGGGTTTTTTCCCTCTCGCATGAATGAGGATTTAGGGTTTAGGGTTCTGTCAACAGCTTCGACCTGCGGTGCAAGCACCGACAGGGGGCTTCTGGCAAGTGGACCCTTGCCGGATATCTCCGACCCTTCTGCACTGCCAGGCTTTCGGCCCCTAGACCCTAAACCCTAAACCCTAAACCCTAAACCCTAAACCCTAGACCCTAAACCCTAAACCCTTTTTGCATCAGGACTTGTGCAATCGCCTGAATGAAACCCTAAACCCTAAACCCTAAACCCAAAACCCTAAGCCAAGGCACACATTCGGCAGAGCATCCAGGGTGTAGTTACTTGGTGTCACAGTCACCGACTTGACCTTCGCTGCGTCTCTTTGAGCAATGGCTCGTGCGGCGCGGGCTCCTACGGACCTTCCCTCAACCGGACTTCTTCAAAAGCCTTCCCGGGAGAGAACGCCGAAACCCTAAAGTTCACGAAACCCTGAAGTTCTTGAACCAAAAGACTGGTTGAAAGACTGGTCAGGACGGCATGAAATCCCTGAAAGTGCTGGCAAGAAAAGGGTGCTGCATGTCGGATGCCACGTTGCTGGGGCCATGTTGAAGCTCAGCGAACCTCCAAAGAGGAACTTATCAGGAGATACAACAGAATAAAGAACCAAAGGATATCTGCACATATATATATATACGCAAACATACCTATATGACATATATATATATATACATACACAACATACCTGTTCCTACCTATACATGGACATGTGCATACACGTGTGCCTATACACATAATTCACATGTACAAAAGAAAAACCTGTAAGGCACACATACATACATACATACATACATGCATGCATACATACATACATACATACATACAAACATACATACATACATCCATCCATCTATGCATGCATGCATACAGTTACATACATGTACAGGCACACATCAAGACACATGCACACATACATACACACGCATGTGCGCAGGCATGCGGGCGTGCCTAGATCCATAGAAGCATATGTACACGTCTACATACACGCATATTTTCGTTTATACATCCTGGGCCTCCCTCCCCTACTGTCTGAACACCGGGGGCCTCCCAAAGGACCCCGAGCCTCCGACCGCAGAGAGGGTTTTTTCGGGGACGAGGTCGATGGGAGACTTGGCGCAGTTCGCCTTCTCCTCGCCCTTAGGAGTTTGGCCCCGTTTAGGGCTTAGGGTTTCGGGTTTAGGGTTTAGGGTTTAGGGTTTAGGGTTTAGGGTTTAAGGTTTAGGGTTTAGGGTTTAGGGTGGGTGCCAAATAAGGGAAGCTGGTGAGGTGTTACTATCAGACCATGGGAGGGCTCAGCGCTTACGGCTTTAAGGCCTCAGGCTTGACGATTTCACTGCAGGGTTCGATTCAAGCTTTGGTGTTTAGGAAAGTTTAGGGCTCGAGGTGTGTCTTCCCTCGTTCGGGGTTAGGATAAGCAGTTGAAAGCGAAAGGAACAATGATTGTGAGGTGTCCGCCGTCCCGTTTGACGCGTACATCGGACGACTCCAGGAAGGTCTAGAGACTAAGACTAGGCAAATGTTGAAGCTCTTGGGCTCTAGGATTTGCAAGGATTTAGAATTCACCTCGGGTAGGCCTTATGATAGCCAGAGAGCCTAGAATTTAGTGTCGATGCTTGTGCGAAAACTCCCATCCTCGACCCGCAGAAGGACCGCACAGCACAGCTAAACCCCACAAAAACCTTGGAGGAACCCCTGTCAAAAAACTGGAAATTTTGCTTGAACTAATAGAACAGAACAGAAAGCTTTACAAACACCTGTATAGGAAACCGTATCGAAACCATCGAAGACAAGCATACACCGCCCTTACTCCTAGAACATTTGTAGACTTTCTAGAAAACCCTGCTTAACAATACAAACAGTGTGTGCATAGGAATTTACAGAAGGCCTCACCGAAAATCTTGTAAAAAAACGATTCGAAATCCTCATAATTAATCAAACGGAGACATCCTTCAAACCCTTCAGCATACACGAACGCCTTGCAAAAGCCCAAAGCACATCTTCGCTCTTCAGGCCGGGTCTTCTGGGCGTCCCGAGGCCAAGGGGCGGTCATCTGAGAGTCCCAGCAGTCGGCCAAACGGTACCAGGTCCCATTCCTCCACGCGGCCTTGCAGCAACCATCGCAAAAAAGAGCTACCATGTTGCTTCAAATAGACAGTAGTAGTAGTCGTCGTCGTCGTCCGGTAGTAGTAGTCGTCGTCGTCGTAGCAGAGCTTCGATAGAGGAGGTATAATCGTGATCATAGTTCGTAGTAGTCAGAAGTCAACATCATGACTCAAAGCCATTGTGTTCTGCAGGATGCGATGCTCGAGTTTGACCGCTCTCACACTCACCGGAGGCCATCTTCCTCAGCCTTTCCAAGTGTCAAGCTTTGCCACAACCGTAAGCCCAGACAAGAAACAACGGCTCCGGTATGCTAAACCGTTTAACGTAATCGTAAGGAAAAAGTAATGTCAACAAAAATCATCATTTGTAACACAGTGGAACAAGAAATAACCCTAGTACCAGCCCTGCTAACCTGTAGTAGAAAATAGTCATGACGCGATGCCTGTGACGAAAAGTCAACCAACATCAAACGAAAGCACAACAAATTCCGAAGATCTTAACTGATAGCAGCACACCTAGTACCCAGCAACGCTTCACGGAGCCTGACAGGTCGCTGCGCTATGGTGTCCAGGCTTCACCTGAGCAAGGGCCGGCAGCGGGCGAGATCAGGGGTTCGGGCGCTTAGGGCTTGTAGGGCTTAGGGATTTAGGGCATTGAGGGCTTTTTTGCCTCCCACCTAGCTAGGACGAAGCCCGCATTACAGGGTACATTTTTTCCCTGTCGCATTGTTGAGAAACTATGCAGGGTACATTTAGGGTTTACGCTCTCACAACTCGGACCAGCCAGGCGAGGTCCATAGGTCTGGGTCGGCGTGACACTAACTCCGAGAGTGACTTACGTACATTTAGGGTTTAGGGTTTGGGGTTTAGGGCTTTCAGGGCTTAGGGGTTTGGGGTTTAAGCGTTGAAGGCTTTTAGGGCTTACGGGTTTACCTTTAGTATAGGGGTTGGGACACGCCAGCCGAGGTTATTGGTGCATAGTCGGTTGGGGTGAAACACTTCTCAGACTTTTTCTATTCTCTTCTACACACATCGAACATCTTCGGATTATATAAATTGCTATGAAGGAGCAAGGGCACGATAACAGCCCAGACAGCCCGGATAAGGGTTCTTTTTGCTTAGGCTCTGCGGTTTTAGGGCTTTCAAAGTGTCTATGGATGAGACGGGCCCTATGATGGAAGTTTTAGGTTGGCCTCTCCTCTTTCCCCTGTATGATGGCCTAAACCCTAAACCCTTGAGACCCTGCAAAACAAACCACCCAGCAGAGATGTGGGTAATTTTTCTCACGCTCGGACTCCGCCAGACGAGGTCTCTCGGTAGGTCTGTTCCACGGCCCCTAGAGTTACACTCACACTCGTACAAGCCCTATACTGGGGTTTTGCGTCGTTCAGTTCGGGGTCTTAAACTGCACAAGAATCAGCATCAGAAGGAGCTGTAAGGAACACACTAGCTTACAACCGCATGATGGCCGAAAACTTCGCCCTTCAGACAGTGCCCTGCTCCTGAAAATCCCGCTGCCTACAGCTGAGATCCTCGAACAATGCAGGCGAGGTTGGTTCGATGCCAAGGTTTCGGTGCTCAAACTCGGACAATCCAGGCGAGGCGTGTTGTCTTGTGTCGGCATGCGAAGGGTTTAGGGTTTGGGGCTTAGTGGGCTAAAACAGTCGGGTGAGTCGGCTCGCCTTGAGGCTGTTCTTGGTGATGTCGCGGCACATGCCAGGCCCATTTGGCATGGGGCTACCTTGCTCTTGAATTGGATCTGACCCCGGATTTCTCACATCAAACCATCCCGCTTAGGCACAGGAAAAGAAGAACGTAAGCTTCTTTGGGGCAACTTCGGTTTAAGGCTTGCCAACAGCATCCTCACACGAGCCTCCACCTGGACCTAAGGTAACTAGGTTCACCGCATGAGCATGTAGTATTCTTCGCCCATCGGTGATGTCGACATCGGGATCACCGAGTGGGACTTACATGTGGCAATGGTCTCAGAAGGGGTCAGGCTTCTGTGCTTCGGGCTAGCGTTTTTGTTCGCCTCCCGCCTAGCTAGGAAGAACCTACGATGCATGGTCTGATGCAGGACTCATCTGGCTTGCAGTGGCTCAGGATTCAGGGTGCTGGGTTTAGTGCCATCCAAGCCACCATCAGCCAAATCACACAAACAAACACGCGGTCGTCAACATCGTGATGGTTACATCATCCCTTGAGAGACTCGACAGCCTGAGATGAAGGACCCCAAGAACTAGTGTTGGCAATTCTTCAAACCTATATGGGGTTTCCGAAACTAGGGGAACCCTTAATATAGCACCCAACATAGTAGGATCCTTATAAGGAATCCCCAAAAATATGATACCCCTTATCTTTGGAAACTCCCTACACACCAGAACCCAGACTCTAAACCCTAAACCCTGAACCCTCAACCCTAAAACCTAAACCCTCAACCCTAAACCCTAAACCCGAAACCCTAAACCCCACAGGCCCGGCTGCGCTTCTTGTAGCCCCCAGCCAGGCACTGGAGGACGTCTCGGAGCTTCGCCGTCTGAAGTGGGCTGACTTTCAAAGCCTGGCAGACTGAGCCAGGAGGAACCTTTTGGGCTTTCCAAGGGATTAGGGTTTAGGGTTTCAGCACTCACAACTGGGACATGCCTGGTAGGGTTTAGGGTTTAGGGGTTAGGGGTTAGGGAGGGTTTATCGCATCATACTGGTAAGTTGTACTATTTTTTAGCACTCACTCTCGACAAAGCAGGCGAGGCTTCTGTCCATCAGCAACACACCACCCTGAAGCACATTGGCCTCAGGGTAAGTTGTACTATACATTCTGTTCGATCTCTATTCTATCCTCTTCACTTCTTGCTGGTTCTAGTGCAGCATGCAACAGTCTGTTCTCTTCTCTTCTTTTTCCCTCCCGCCTGGCTAGGACGAACCTACGATGCAGGGTCTATCAGAGCAAAACGACTACACGCCCCCATCCCAAACCCAGTTTGCTGCACAAGGGCTTGGGGAAGGCATCTCTTCTCTTCTGTTCTAGTAGAAGGTGCAGGTTTGAGTTTCTGATCATGGTCTGTAGGGGCTTTGGGCTTCGAGCTTCGGGTTTAAGGTGGGCTCTGGATTCAACCCGTCAGCAGCTGTGGTGCAGAATGAAAACTTCGCAGACGCTCAAAACTTGACCTGCGGGTCGGATTCACGGTACGTTTTGGTGGGTTTAGGGTTTAGGGCCCTTGCGGGGCATCGCTTCAGGGCTCAAGGGTGCCACTTGAAGGTCGTGTCTCTGAACATATCTACATGGAGGTCGGTTGGTAGTTCTAAGTGGGGCTATAGGTTCTTTATTATGAGTTGTAACTACAGTCATCTTAGGACTAACCATGAACCTAGCTGGAATTCGAGGTGCAGCTCCGAACTACAAAGACGGCTGCTGCTAATGCAACCACAAACTGGGTGCTACTTCTACCAAATTGAACAAGACCACACATGATCAGTCTAACAGTAACCATACCACTTGTGACAGTAGGTCCTTATGATAACACGGTAGCAATGATAATAAGACTCAATTACTAAGTGCAATACAAAGCCAATGCTTAAACATAAACAAAACGCAGCATGCGCACTTTTGAATAGCTTCGCAGTTGACGGGGCTCGCAAGCGTTGCATCTCGAGTCCAGTGCGCCTCATTCCAGACTTTCTGCCCCTGAGGTCACTTGGCTTCCTCCAGCGGTGGCTTTAAAAAAGTTCTGGTCATGAAACGTGAACACAGCCTGGGGCGTCTGCCAGTTAGCCGCTGGCAGGTCACTCAGCATTGGCAGCCGCCCGGATGGTCTCCAGGTCCTGCTGCATGCGCCAGTGGCTGGATCCCTTCAAGCGGGACGCGTCGTAGAAGGCTTTAGGTTCCTTGGAGCCAGACTTGGCGTAGAGGACATCGATCGCGTACATGTCGTCGTCCTTACCACGGATGTACTGGTACATGAGAACGGGCGGCAGACATGGCCAAACCACTGTTCGGCAGAAGGTGCCCAGCTTGATCACGTTGCAAAAGCTCTGCGGGCTCGCCTGCGGAGCGGTGAGGAACTTGTGAGCCACGATCACGAGCTCGCC